CATGCTAATGTGTGTGTTATTAAAATATGCCCCACATTTCACAGATGAGGACTCTGAGGGTCCGAGTGGCCACGAAGCCAAAGACTACAGATCCAGTGAGAAATCTTGAAATTGTGTAGACCGCTCTGCTATGACAGTTGATGTCTGTAACCGAGACACACAGCATTGCCAGGATACACACTGGGGGATGAATGAACGGATGAGGGCTCCAAAGCCCCAGCACAGAAGCCCTCTGACCCCCGTTCTCTCTTTTTGGAGCATCTTGGCTCAGGCCTTAGGGAAGGCACCATCTGGGAGAGCAGGAACCTGGTGAGGATGGGGCGGGGCAGGAAGAGTATTCCTGGCAGAGCCTCAGAGTGAGATAGGTTTGGGGTGTTGGAGCAACGAGGGACTAGTGGTGAGAATAGCTTGTGGCCTGCTAGGGATGAGGGTGGTCCTGTACTGAGGGCTGAGGCCATAAGGACAGGAACTTCGGGGAGGTGGTGCTGAAGGATTCTACAGAGGGCGGTGTGTCTGGGCTGTGTCCTGGCATCAAATCCAGCTTCTCCACACAGCAGCTAGAGACCCACCTCACACAGCCCAAGAGGTCGGCATCTTGTACTGGGGAAAGGCAAAGGGGCTAAGGGGTGACAAAAGTACAGGCTCAGGTTTGACCATTAAGCATGTTTTGGAGTTTAAATTTTTGTTTTTAAATCATTGTAAAATATTTCAGACAACGAAAGTGATGTATGGATACTGACCTTCACTCAGGGCCAAGAACCATATGCTCCCAACTGGCTCAGGCGCCTGTGGAGCTTCCCCAGCCCCACCCCAGCATAGGCATCTCAGTTCTGAATTGGCCAGATGTCTCATCCTGCCGTCTGCCTGCCATCGCCACCTCCCTCCTTAACCTTACAGCTGGGAGTGCTTACTGCTTCCTGTGAAATGTAACAATAGCTGACTGCCTGTACTTTGTTTTTCCTCTCAATATAAGAATTTGACAAAATGTTTGGGGGCTGGAGATGGGAAAATGTGCATTCCTTCAAGACATTCTTTTTTTGAGACAGAATTTCATGTAACCCAGACTGGCCGCAAACTCTCTGGGTAGCTGAAGATGACTTTGAACTTCTCATCTTCTTGCTTCCACCTCCCAGAGTGCTGGGATCACAGGCATGCATCACCATGCATGGTTTATGCAGTGCTGGGACCCTCTACCAACTGAGCTATATCTACCCAATAACAATTGCTGGCACTCCACAGCGCTCCTGCGTCCCCTCCCCTGTAGGTTCCTTTAAGCCTCACTGTGATGATCTGAGATAATAGTTATTGTGCCAGTGGGGAAACTGAGGCATGGGATTGTTCATGGCAAGTCATTGAGTTGGTAGAGCCAGGGTGTGAGCTGACAGGTTCACAGGATGTGGGGATGGCTGGATGGGCAGGCCCAGCCTACTGTCTCTAGAGCCTCTCCCTTTCTCCCCACTGTTCTGCTGTCACCAGAGCTTGGCCTGGGCTGAGCAGGCAGGGAAGGACGTGCATTGTCCCTGAAGTCACCCCTTCTCTGCTCCTTCCATGTAGAGACCAGCCCCTAGGGTGGGGATGAGCTGGTTGGGGCTCCCCCTTCCCACCTCAGCCACCCTACACTGACAGAACCCTTCTTTTTTAA